ATGGAAAGTGATATGGGGCATTTTTATGGGCTTGGTGAAGTTCATAGCACCTTTAGGCATGTTAGTTTTTGTGATGTAGTATTCTGTATTTGCCAAAGGAAATAACTAATGGTCACACGATGTAAATATTGATGCTTTGTAGCTTTTATAAAAAAATGGATATTGTTGTATGTTCCCAATAAAAACATACACACTATTTGATTTTTATGATTAAGATAGTTATGAAAAAATAGGTTGTAGTATACATTAAAACATATCAAATTTTGAAAGCAATACTTATTACAATTTTAGATGGAACTAATGATCACATTCGGAATGTGTATTACTCCTAATTAATTAACCTGAATTTAAACCGGTATCAATCGGAGATTTATTAAAAGAAAAATACAGATTGTTCCATGTTTTGGACATTTAAAATGGAATGAAGAAAAATGACATAAAACATGAGCACAATCCTACTTCTAGTAAAACTCTCGTGATAGCAGAATGCCAGAATCCAAATTAACTTATGAGACCAATTTTCGTATCAAAAACATGAGAATTGTAAATGCAAAAAAAAAAGCATGAGATCTCCTTAATGTAAGTTTTCAAAATAGATGATCAAAATTCGAAAAAATCGATGGCTCTAGAAAAATCTTTAGAAATGTTGGTATCTTTGATAATGCCCATGTGTGCAATGCAGGAGGGCATTCAAATAGAACATGATTGATTGTCTCTTCTTCCGCTCCACACCATATACATTGAGTGTCACATTGTATTGTCCGAATCGTAACCTAGCATCCATGATTGATCTATTTTTTTTATATAATGTAATTTTATATAATGTAAGATATAAAAAATTCTAGTGCGACCCTCTAGAATTAATATTAAATTCGAATACTCAAAATATCATGATAATTTTTACTTATTCGATTGTGTTGTTTGATGTATATATAATATTAACGTACAATATATATTGTGGTGATTAGTATTAATATATATAGTATGAACACCCACATAGTACCCACATAGTATAAAGTAAGTCATAATCTAATACTAACAAATAAAAGAAATTTAGAAAAATAAAAATATGTTTATACAAAAGTAATATTGAAAATTAAGAAAATATTTTTATGGCCGGACTACAAATCTCAAGGGTTTCAATTTATATTCAAATATTTTGAAAGTTTAAAATAGTGTCAGTCCGCAAAATACACATTTTATTTCATATATTATTTGAAATACTATATTTAAAAGGGTGATGTTGTACATCACGAAATCGTATAGATTTTATTTGTATATTGATATTTAATTCATTAGTAAATAGTTAGTTCAGTGTGAAAAAATTGGAGGAAGGTATAAACCGAGTATCAGCTGAATTGGGGCCTCTAGGCTATTAGTGCACCCAACATTACTTTAATTAAGTGAGACAGCTAAACAGAACAAAAGTAAGATAATAGTTTTTGAAAAGAATGATTACAGTACACATTTAAATATCATTCTAAGAAAACTGGAGTTTTCTGAACATTGGGCCATCATTGCTGGGAAAAAAAAGGACATTGGCCCATTATTTCATTCAGACATAGACTTATAATGAACTAATCATTGCTTCTGTTCTTAATCTACAAATAACTATTAGAAAAATCGCATAGTTTAGAGACTTATAAGCAAAAGACTAGAGAGTTTAAAGATTTGGTAAGGGGATTATTCAGTTGTTCCATCAAAGTTAGGTAGGCGGATGGGTCACAATATAGTTTGGTCTAATCAATCCAGCCAGCATCTATATAATATATTTAAGCGATATATTCTATATATTAACACAGTTTAAATATATAAAATAAGTTATAGAAATAATTCCCGGTTTAAAATTGTTTATAATATTATATAAATTAATTAGTCCGTATAAAGATGCAGTATTTTATCAACATGATTATTTTCTAACAAACCCTCTAGAGTCTAGATTATATAGACAACATTAAACAATGCAAAACTTATTTTCAAATTTTGAATAGTCTAATACATGTGTGATTGTGAAGATTGGCTCAGTTTCAAAAGAGATTTTAAGTGAGAAGAGGGTTTCATTTAACAAAAAACTCGAATAGTTGATAGACGGATTAATTAGTTCGAAAGTGTCAGATTGAATAGAAGTTTACTAAATAAAAGTACTAAGCCAGGTTAGTTAAGTGGTCTTAATTAAGTTGGTTGGAGCTAAACCCTCACGTTTTGATGGTTAAATGAGTTTCCACTAAGAAACATAACAAAAGCTTGTGATTTCGATCGAAAATCTTTTTCTTATAATCTCTTTTTTTTCAACTTTGATTTCAAGAAACACGTAAAAATATATGTTTATTTTCTAAATTCGTTTGAGAAGGGTGGAAGCTGTAATTTTTTCCTTCCTGTTTTCAGTTCGTTAGTAGATTATCTAATAATTATATATAAATTTAGTTAAACTATAACTAAGTTGTGTCCTTTCTCAAAAAAAAACTATAACTAAGTTGTGTTGCCCTGATACATCGCTAAAATGTTGCTCTCGTGAATCTTGGTCAGAATTAGAAAAGAAAAAATTCTTGGTAAGAATTGTGAGCGTCATTTTAATCCCCTTTAATCTTCTTAAGTTCATGCGTTACCCAAAATGAAAAAACAAAAATTGTTTTCATGCATGAATGGGCTTCTACGGATTGATCAAGCCCCAATAAAAATACATGGGCCTAGAATACTTCTAAACCTGCCTAACCTTTCTCTTCCACTAAATTTTGTATGATTTTGTTTTTTTTTGTTTCAAAAGACATCTTGGGTGCTTTGTATTGATTGGTTATTGACTATAAAAAAGAGTCAAATATAAATGATAATGAATTTAATAAAAGTCAACCTCAGAAAATATGGCCACTCAATCTCTTTCTAAATTGGTATTTACTAAAATATGAAAAAGGAAACTAAAAAGATATCGCAAAAGACAAGAAACTTTTGGAGTGGAGTTGGACTCGGATTAAAAGGGATCAATGCCTGAGAAAATAAATAGCGCACCAAGGAACGATAATAAATTAATTATGCAGGCGTGATTATTGATTAATACTTTAAATTATCTTTTAAAAAAACAAAGTTAGGGCCAATATGGAATCGGAACCCTTTTGCTAGGTTTCGTGTCACCAAACAAGCAAGCACCATATTTTAATTTGAGATAAAAAAAAATCAATATAAGTAATAGTTCCAGTTCTCCTAATGAAACATAAATCGACTATTAATAACCAAGCGCTATTTTAGTCGATATATTTTCACAACATCATCAAAATTCAAAAGAACTGAAAACCCGATTACCCAAACCGAGAACCGGTCCGGAGTATTACAAGAAAATCTGTATATTGGAAAGATGGGTGCTTCCTTGTTAGGTGATTTGAAACCTCACAAAATATATATTTAATATTCCATATTGCCCCTTACTTTTGGCTACGAAAAAAGAGATAATAATGTATTAATCAATAATCACGCTTGCATATTTAATTAACATATCCAAGTTAATTAATTTAATTTTTGGCATCATGTGTCCACTTTTCATAATAATTGGATACAACAAAATATTTAAAAGAAATAAACCCTATTACCCCTTCCTCTTCCGCCCTAGGTTTGTTTTTGTTCCTTCTTAATTATTATGAGAAGCTCGAGATCTTAAGAATGGGACTAGTACGACATGCATGAAGAAAACTATATGTGATCATAAATCTTTAATCATTTTTCCATTGGTCTTAATTATATTCATCATCTAGCTCTGTATGTCATCTTAAATTCCTTCTATATATCTTACGCCAAGTATAATGTATTTTTAGTTAACTATCGGAATTTTGTTATCTATCAAAACATTTAGAAGAACATTTGGTCTGCAAACCAACATATTTATTAAAGGAGGAGAATAAAAAAAATAGAGTTGGTCAAAAACAAATGTCTAGCAAAGAAAACAGCCAAACAATTGCTCTTCTCGTAAAATCGGAATAAACTTTTAAAAAATTACTTGAAAAGACAACGAAAGAAACATGTCTCTAGGTTGCGGCAGCAGGCGGCATTCACGTTGCATTTAGCTTTGTGGTTTATAGGTTTGGCTAAATAACCAAGTCCGCATTTCACATATAGCTTTTGAGAGTGTATGTGTCTCTCGTGGAGAACACACATGTTTAGGAATACTAATTGGTTTCATATTAAAAGAAAAAAAATACTAGGTTATTCCGAACTATCCATATGATTTCTAGCAAATTTTTGGTAGCAAAAGCTAGCTAGTACTGGAACATAAAATCTATAGATCGTAGATTAATCTCTAAAATTTATCGACATTACATGAAATCACGGTGTCTTAAAATATTATGTAATGAAGCTTTTTAATAAGGAACTTAGAATTCTAACTAATAAACTGGCTAGTTTCTTCCAAAAAAATAAGAATAATAACAAACTATAACCATTTGTCTACAATCAAGTGGTTCATGAAAAATAAATAAGTTTTTCATGTTTATAGGACATTTCTTTTTCAGTTAGTTGTGTTTAATTTACATGTTGTCTAGACCAATAATTCATTCTTACTACATACATTTTAGCTTTTATAGACTAGTTAGTTGTTAAACAGTTTGTTAATTAGTTAGTCGATTAATCTTCATAACAACGTATATATATATATATACCTTACACTGTACAGATACATTGAGAGAATTACTTTTACAACTTTGTCCTTTTCCTCTCGTTCCCTCTCTAACCTTCAGCTGAATCTGTAGTTGTGAAATGGTAAAAACTGAGTGTTAACTAACTACTCTAATCATCGGCCGAGTTACCGAAAAAAAAAAAACCGACTAAACTACAAAAACTGTGACAAGTTCATGTAGAGGTCAAACACATCTTCAATTGACGTACGATCTTACGCAGACCGCATATAACACATCTTCGGTGGCTTAAAGAAATTTCTATAAATCTGATATATATGTAATACTAAATGTAACTTAGTGGACATACCCCACTCGCATATTATATTGTCACCACCACCGATCGTATCACATACACTTTATATTCTCTAATACATATATCCTCTAAACTCTTAACCAAACAAAAAAGGAGCAAAAGAGAAAGTTCAAGAAAGAAAAATGATAAGGGAAGAATGTACTCCAAGTTCATCATGGTGGGAAGATGTTCAACATCATCATAATGATCATGCAAACTCCATTAGTTCGACGTCGTTTTACCACAAGAATAGTAACTCATACGCAAACGCTAGCTGTGAAGGAGACAATCTCTCGATCTCGACAGTAAACGCTTCAAATCGTTTTGACCTAACCGCTGAATCCTCCAATCATCACTCTCTCTCAGCTCCGGATCAGCCTGCGTCCTCCTCTAATGAGTTGCTCCGAGACCATGCCGTCTCTTCACATAATCATCTATGGAATCTTGCCTTCATGTAAGTATCCATAATTTTATTCATCTTCTCTACGTATGTGTTTAGCTTCTTTTAATCTGCGTTCTTACTTGCAATTTACATAACGGTTGTGATTCGAGGTCTAGTTTAACGTTTTCAGTTATAAGCTCCACTCCATTATGATATTGTCTAGTCAGTATAGCTATTTTTTTCTGTCTGTTTTACATACCTTTTTAAAATGAGTGCTTTAAAAAAAATGAATGCTTTCAGACCGGAAAAATAAAACAAAAAGCATTAGAAACAAAAGAAAGGTCTAAAAGTTGGTTTAAAAAAGCAAAATTAGTAGCTCTTTTGAATTATTGTTCCCCCGCAAATGATTTAACGTTTGATTGGTGAGGGTATGCCTATAATTTTGCACTTATGATTAACTTTTATTATTGGCCACTGGAAGATTTAGATTATCATTATTAAACAAAAAGAGATGTAGTTCATCATTAAAAATGTGTATTTGTTTAAATAAAGAACGTAAAAACGCAACCAAACAATATCATTTCGTATGCGTTTACATATTCCCAAAACTATTTTAATGAAAAAAAGTAAATGTAATGTCCTTATTTTTGAAAGTTAAAAACAGTATAGCATAGAAATAACACATAAATTCATAAATTATTTTTGAAGCCCGTAGTTATAACCTTAAGTTGTAAACATATTTTTTATACATACATTGTATGAAGTTATGGTGATTGTATATAAATGGACAGGCCTGGTAGGAGCTTAGGAGACCAAATGATGGATCAACATCATCATCATAATCACATAACAACATCTTCTAGAAATAATTCGTCATCAACATCAGAATTACCTTTTGAGCCAGTCTGCGATAACGCTAGCGGAAACGGTTGGATCTACGATACAAACCAAGGTAGGTACGATCAAATTAGTGAACGAAGGCTGTCATCAAAGCAAACGGACCTAGTAGGCAAACACTGGTCGCTTGCGCCACCGAATAATCCCGACATGAACCATAATAACCTTCATCATCACTTTGATCAGACGACAAACGACGACGTTTCTATGTTTAGACAAGCGTTGGAAGTGAAAAATGAGGAAGATCTTTGTTACAATAATGGATTGAGTGGTGGTGCTTCGTTATTCCATGATGCTATAGAAAGTTCTAGAAGTTTCCTTGATATAAGGTTAAGTAGGCCATTAACGGATATTAATCCGTCGTTTAAACCATGCTTTAAGGCCTTAAACTTGTCTGAGTTTAACAAGAAAGAGCATCAAACGACATCACTGGTACGTATACGCTTTATACTAATTCAGTTATATCATCAAATGTGATATTGTTCCGTAAAACCACTTAAAGTTACACAAATCATTTCTTAACATAAAATTTGTGAGATTTAAAATTTAGCTTGTTTATTAATCTTTTTTCCTTTTGCTGCTTTAGTGCTATTTGCTTCTTTTTCTTAGCGTAGAACCTTTTCATTCCTCGCATACCTCATTCAACTCCAAAAATTAATTTAACATTTATTCCACCATGCATTATGCTAAATTGCCAATTAGAGTCTATGCAACGCACCAACGCTAAACACGAACTTGGAAGCTATTTTTGCAGGCAGCTGTGAGGTTGGGAACAACAAACGCCGGCAAGAAGAAAAGATGTGATGAAGTTTCCGATGAGGTCTCAAAGAAGGCCAAGTGCGGCGGTGGCTCTACACTCTCGCCGGAGAAGGTAATCTCTACATGATATAATTAATTATGTTTATGTGTGCACATAAATATAGAATAAATACGTATACTTTTTTGTTAATGCCAAAAATAGTGAATTTTGTTTTGGGTTGTCTAAAACAACAAGTAATTAATCTACTTCAAGAGTAATTACATGTAGACAAAAAATGACTTTGAGTGTTAGTTTTCTTTTATAAGAATCGTTAAAATTATCGGTTCATTGATAAATATTGAAACATATACAGGGGCAGAGGTAGTATACGATGAACGGGGTCACATGACCCCTACTACTAATTTTTATTTTTCTTAAATAACTTAGTAAATTTAATCAAAATATTTTAAATTTAGTGGTAAAAATAAAAAGTTGTCCCCAACTAAATTTTTTTTTTCTTAATCATAAAATTATGTTTCTCACTAAAATTTTTTTCTAGATCCGCCACTGAACATATATACTAAACTAAACAGTAATTATTTTCTCTACCATGTTTGCCAAAAATATAAATTAACGATTTTCTTATGGAATATTTGTTTGCATGAAACTATTGGATAAATATATATAAAATCGTTACTTTATTTTTTTCTGAAAAATAATGGCAGGAGTTACCGAAAGCTAAGCTTCGAGACAAGATCACGACTCTCCAGCAAATTGTGTCTCCCTTTGGAAAGGTACTACAAAAGGGCCGTATTCTTTTTTGTCTTTTTAGTTTCTATTAATTTCTTATATATAATCTCCTTAATTTAACGATCCTCTCGATAATACAAGGAAGAAAATCAAATATTTTGTTTGAAAACGTTTCAGACGGATACTGCTTCTGTGCTTCAAGAGGCCATCACTTACATAAATTTCTATCAAGAGCAAGTAAAGGTAAAATGCTTTATATATAAACGATAAAAATTACGGAAAACAATGATTGTTCCATACATACGACAGCCTTTAATTGAGTATCCTAATTAATAGTTTGATTGGTGTAATTTTTACGATCATGCAGCTGCTAAGCACTCCCTATATGAAGAACTCATCAATCAAGGTAACGGTTTTAGGAGAAAAAATGTGCGGATTTTTAATTAAATATGATTTTCATCAACTATTTTAATTATGACGATAATCATATGCTGGTTTTAGGATCCATGGGGAGGATGGGACAGAGAAGATCACAACAAAAGAGGACAAAAACATCTGGACCTAAAGAGTAGAGGGCTTTGTTTGGTTCCTATTTCTTGCACCCCAATTGCATACCGCGATAACAGTGCAACTGACTACTGGAGTCCCTCGTATAGAGGTTCTTTGTATCGTTGATCTTATCAGCAAAATCAACTGGCATAGATAGAAAGTGTGTAGAGAAAACGATTTGATTAGTAATAAACCATCCGAACCATCGTTGATTCTGCAGTGGAGCAAGCAGTATAAGGGAAGAGATGTATACGTATATTAGATACTAATCATTGGGATCATGGTCTATGATGTGCAGTTGTTCCAGATATAACCTTAAACATTGTGATATGGACCTCTATATAGACTACAATCATAACGGGGTTTGATTAATTAGGTATACAGCAATGCATTATACAAGACTAGTTTCTTAATGCATATTCCTTGAATTTAACCATATGTCTAAGTGTCTAACCATTCGAATGTTTTACGTACGTAGCAAAGTCCAATGTGTTTTAACAAAAGTTACCTTCAAATTGAAAAGCTTAAAATTAACTTTAGTATTCTACGTTTCTATTTTTTTTGTTTTATCTTTGCATCATTTATATGTTTTTTATTTGGTTTTAAAGGGATAAAACAAATTCGATGCCACAATTTAGTAAATGGGCTTCAAATGGGATAACAAATTGGATTCTTATATTATTGGGCCAACAATTCTTAGATGAGCAATGCCTCTACTCACTATACACACAAATGTGTAGGAGAGACGTTAACTTTCTAGAAAATCGAAAACCTGACCACATACTAGTGTAATTTATGTATTTAATCTTAAATACTTCAGTTAACTAAGAAATTAAGCAATCTTTAAAAAAAACTTATTTTTTTATAACCTGTTAGTGATTACTGGGATCTTAAATTCAAAATCACAATTACTAATTAATGCAAAATTTAAAATAATTGATTATAACAAACTTAATTTTGTCTAACAAAGTTTTAATTTTCTTAGATGACTTAAAGATAGTTGAATCAGCTTTTATAAACTAAGTTAATTAAGCTTTATAAAGACTTCTAATCAATTACGTAATAATAAAAAAAAAACATATAAAAAATTAAAGGTGCTTTTTTTTAATTACTAAAAAAAAAAGGGCCAAAGTCTGTAATCCTCAAAACCCAAAATCACAGTATCTAATATTAGTTTTGTTTCAAACGTTAATAATTCAATAAACATATTTATTAAGTTCAGTAGACGTGTATGATCGAGTAGTTTTACATCGGTTTGCTTGTTGAACAAAACAAATTGGTTGCATCACCTTTGATAGTAGTAAAATATTAATAACGAGTTTGCGTGAACACGGAACATACTTGCAATGTTGATTGATAACTTTTTATCGCAGGGGAAAAAAGTATGATCAGTATTTTTATATGGTTTTTATCGCTGCGATACAAAGTATACTGTGTTAACTCTTCTTTGAAGAGCAGATTCCAACCTTGCTAAAATTTAAAAGTTACAAAAAAATATATAGTCAGTTTTTAATATGGTTTTTACATCGACTTTTTACATCTTTTAACTATTCTCTACCTTGACGGCCAAAAATACACTACATATATATTCAATACCCAATTACCATTTTTTCTTTGTTTTTGTTTGTGAAACACTTTTTTTTTGGTTAAAAGGCTTATCGTGCAACACCATTTCTAACCGTTAAATTTCTTACCGCTTTAAACTATCAATCGAACTTATTACTTAATGTTTAATTGTTGTGGTTCACATTTATTTAATATATTTTGCCGAAAAGACAATTGGTACTTAAAGATTAACAAACGTTCATAAACTTGCGATTTTGATTCGGCATTTAGGTAAGATTAATAATTAAGGGTTCACATGATTTCCGTATACATTGTTACTAAAACTAATTGTTATAACCAAAAAGGGGATGAACCTCCCAGCCGGTCTCCCGACAACTGCAGAATAATTATGCACTTCGCTTCATTCGATACATTATAAAACAATGCATATTATCTGCAGTAATATATTATGGAAATAAATCTGTAGTGGTCAAATGATATAAGTTTTGATATGTGAAGTAGGTCAATTTCATAGATTAGCCAAAGCTCAATCTAGTATCATATCAATTTGTTACTAATATATCTGATAAACTTATTTTATGAATACCTTGATATTAGAAAAATAATGCAATCTTGCATTGCAATGGAAAACAATCTAGTTTTTTTATGACTGTGAGGTTATAGGATTAAAGGTCCAGACATCTTCAGCGAGGTCAAAATCATGTAATTTTGAACTTCTTTGAAGAGCAGCTTCCAACGTAAATAGAATTTGTAACCTTCAGATTTCTTATGAAATTAGTAATCCAGAAGTTTAACCACTAATTTATTATAGAAAATAAATTAAACTGATTAATGTTTGAAAGAAGAATTTATCAAAGAACCAAAACAAGACTCACGTATGTGATAAAATAAATAAAAAATTGCTCAGATCACTACCACTTCATCATGTCAACAACCATTTCTAACTTTTTTTTAATATACAAAAGATTACTACAATCTAATCACACCCGAACAATTTTGGATATAATATTATATATAAGTATGTATATATCCACTCTGCAGGGTATTTATTTAAGTATAATTATTTAGTTATTTGACAAAGAAATCTGCTAGGAAGTGTGTGTAGTGAGAAGAAAGAGATAATAATGTGGCAACCGGACAAACTAACTCAGATATTCCCACTAATAATCAGATGCAAGCCAAAACCAAATGAATAAAAAACTATGACTGCCAATATTCAGGAGTCAATTATATACGAAGGTATCTATAGGCGGGAATATACACGTATGATTAAACTTTCTTTACACATATAATCAAAATATTATGGTTCTCGAAATTTTGGATTAACACTTTCATATAGCAAAAAGAAAAATATTATTCAAGATTGAGACATAGAAAGAGAGAAAAGAAAAAAGAAAAAAAAAACAGAAATCAGAAAGCATTAAGAAAAAATCGAGGTAAGGAGAAGAGTACTAAAATGCTTTAAAAAAAAGGAGCAGCACTCTTGCCAAGGCCAACGTCTCTGCCATCCATACTCTCTTGTATTCTCTTCTTCTCTTATTCTTAGTTATTATATTACTTTTATAATATATTACATATTAATTTAAGAAACATTTTTACAATATACTTGTACGAGTCCAACAAATCTTTTCTTGTCAAAATCAGTGTATCATATATGCATGCATTCGCTCTTGCGACTGGTAAATTCAAGGCAAACAAAAACCACTGTGTTGTTTGTAGAGTTCAAGCTCATAATTTTGTTTACCTAAGAAATAAATAAATACGGAATTACAAAAGTCTCGCTGACATATTTCATAATTAATCATATGTGGAAGGTTAATCTGTTTTTTTTTTTTGACTGAGTGGAAGGTTAATCTGTTTCAATTGCTTTTCTTTGTTTACATTCGTATATAGAATTGAAATTTAGTACAGAGCTTTTGTAGATTTGTTGGAATCAAATCGATATTTTATGCCTTACGTACCAAACTGTCGAGTTTTTTTTTTTCTTTTGTGAGCTATCTGTCACTCTTTGGATTTGATTTATGACAAAAACAGTAAAAAAATTTGAGCGATAATGTAATCATTAGAAAATATAAGAAATTATTGTAAGAAAATAGTGATATACAAAAAAAGTGACATACAATATAGATCGGTTATATCGTTCTTGGTAGTATTAATTATTTACGGCCTATTTATGAGATAACCATACTAGTTTTACACCTTTTACCACAATTATAAATGTTATCAATCACACCCATTGGAATTTTAGCATGCCCTAGGATTAAGTCGTGCATGAAATTATTTATTTGTGATATCAAAATTTATGATAAACTATCACTCCATTTGTAATAGTATGGTCAGAGTCAGTCGCAACATAATTATGATTAAATTATTACTCCATAGTCCATATTATCAATTCACCATATCTTTACCCATTTATATGATACATATATCTTATAAATTTTCACTCCAATTTTATATTTAGTCAACATCTACATATAGAAATAGTAAATATGGAGTGATAATTTAAGTAGTTATGCTATAAATGATCATAAATGTTATAAATAGATGATCTATGGCTTTTGAAAATGTGAATCCTAAAACTCTGTTTTATTTTGTAGGTTCTAGGTTGAAGGAAGGGAAACATGAGCCATGAGTCACAATGTCACATATCCGGAAAAAGGTAAATTAACCTTAGAGATCCCTCCAAACAAACTAATCCTCTGGGACACTTGTCCTTACATATCCTAATAAAATAATAAATGCACACAAACAGAAGAAAAAATTAGGAGATATACATCAGTAATTTTTTTTAAATTTTTTTATCTTTAGAAGAAAGTTTCAAAAGAAAAAAAGGTAACCCCCTCGTGAAGATCTCAGTCCAATCCTTTTGTTCCATGTAATGGTAAATAACAAAACTTTCGAGTTTCGAATTAAGTTATATTATGTTTTTTGCCCAATGGAAATTCCTGAACTAAAAAGTTTTTATATAATTCTCTTCTCTATTTGATTAATGACATTTTGTCACACTCACATCTCTCTCCTCTCCTCTCTCTTTCTCTCTCTCAAAAATTTGATCTTTCGCCAATGGAGAAAAGATTTGATCTTTCTGGGAACATTTCGTTTTCTCAATAAAAGACATTCGCTCTCTCTCTCACCCCCAACGCTTTCTCTCTCTATACGTAGCGACAATAATTCTGAAACCTCCTCTACATAACAAAAACCAATATATATACATACATACACACGTATACAAAAACAATCCACACATTATTATATAAACATTTACACTCTTCTTCTTCACACTCTCTCCAAACTAAAAACAAACCTCTCAAACAATCAAAATCTCAATCTCTCAGGGAAATTTCTTCTTCTTTCTTCTTCCACCAGAATAGGGTTCTTTGAAATTGAGGAAATTTCAGTATACAAATAGTAAAATTGAAAAAAAAATGGTGAGAGAAGGTCACGAGAATAAAGAGGAGGAGATGATGATGATGGTGGCTACAAAACCTGCATGGCTTGAAGGATTAATGGCGGAAACTTTCTTCTCGAGCTGTGGGGTCCACGAGAGTCGCCGTAAAAGCGAGAAGAACGTCTTCTGCTTGCTCTGTTGTCTCAGTGTTTGTCCTCACTGTCTCCCTTCACATCGCTCTCATCCTCTTCTTCAGGTAATAAACTTAACTCCTCAATTTAGAGACTTTCACAATTTTTCAAAATTGAAATATTAAGTTTGTTTTTTTCGTTTCATTCGTCGTCAAATTCTATGATTCAAGGTGTTTTTTTTCGGAGAATTTTCGATGACCCATGATTTGATTCTGTGACAATTTCAATACCCATGTTTTTTATTCTTGATTTTTTTTTTGTTGCGATTTCTTATCGCGATAGAAACCTTACTTACACCTATACAAACAACAATCACTGTGTGTACGTATGTTTTCTGTTAACTCGATTTCTCTCTCTCTCTATATATATATATATATATATCTCATGAGTCATGAGAGATGTTTGGATTGTAGCGAATTCTGTACTTACACCCTTGTATATATATATAATCGCACACGTTAGCAATTTATCATATTTAACCATAAACCCATAAATTTTTTCAAAAGCCTTTTTTGTTTACTTTAAAAAAAAATTTAAGGATTTTGTTTCTCTGTGCAATTAATATGTTACTTCAATTCACATGCTTCTACTTATGCTTTAAATTTGTTCTCCAACATCTTTTCAAAATTTTAAATGCAAATTATAGAGCTTTTGGAAATAGTACTATGAGATCTTTTTTATATATATATTTTAGATGGACCTTTCATTATCATAAACTTTTTCTTCTCCCAAAAATTATATTTTTTTACATGTTCATCTTCTCAAAAGAGCCTATAAAGTCATCTACCTAAATTTCTCTTCATTTTTACATTTAATTGCGCATATTAAACCCTTTAGTCTAAATTTGATTCAGTTGTTCTAAACATATGATTATTTCTACAATTATGCTGAGAATTGTAGAGGTTTGAAGGCAAAATCCAAAATGTATAAACTCATATAAATTCACATGTATCATGTATGTATATATATCATTGATAGTATTGGACTTGAATTGTCTATTGTTTGGACTTGGTTTGTTTCTATATATAGTATGTATCTTTTTCTCATCTTTTATTTATTCATTCTCTTTTCAAATTTGCTTGGTTCCTTTAAATTTATTGTCTTCTCTGATCAACTTCTCTTGAGCTGTTGCTTTCAAAGAAAATAAAAGCTTTGACCAAATTCCTTTTCCTTCACTTCCATTTACTTCTTTCCACAGTTTTTGTTTATATTTTAATCCTCCACTATTTCCCAAAAACATTATTGGTGCAAATCCAAAAACCATGGCTCTAATTATAAGATTCAGGAATAATTTATTATTTTACTTTTGGATAAGAATTTTGCTAGAACTTTTATATTCTTTTTAGCTACCTTTTTGTGCTTCAGGTAAGAAAATGAGAAAGTTTTTTGAAGCAATTATGAATGTTATATCCCATTAGTTATATTCTATCTATTAAATCTTTTGGTTTATGAATTGGCAGGTGAGAAGATACGTATACCACGACGTCGTTCGGCTAAGTGATCTTGAGAAGCTCATAGATTGTTCATATATTCAGGTGAATCATATACTCTTTTGAAGCTTTTAATTTTAGCTTTAATTTATTACTGATTAAAAATCTGTATATTCAGCCATATACAATTAATGGAGCCAAAGTGATATTCATAAACCAAAGACCACAGTCAAGAGCTAAGGTCTCTTCAAATGTTTGCTTCACTTGTGATAGAATCCTCCAAGAACCGTTCCACTTTTGCTCCCTCTCTTGCAAGGTCTAATTTCAATTAATGCACATATTCTTTTCGAAATAATTTAATTTTAAATTGAGTGTTAGAAGTTTTGAACCCTAAGTAATTGAACTTAAAAGTTTTGATTTGTACTAGTGTCTTCCTTACTAGTGAAAAAATGGAAATTTAGTTATAAGTTGTTGACATAGTTGACCATGAATGATAATGTGAGACCCATTTATTCTTGAGATTCACTTGTTGATTGTTTTTATTCTAGTAAAATGAAAAATGAAAATAGAATAGAATGATTGCTTCAACTTTTAACCATATGACAGGTTTTTTTTAAGAAAACAAATCATTACTCTAAAGATGAAAAAACAAAACTTTGGAAAACAGCTGTTTTTCCATTATTTATAATATGTTCTATTTTTTCCTGGGATTATGTGTTACATTTGTTTAATCTTCTTTAACACATGTGAAAAGTACAAAGTGAGCACTTTCCTAGGTTATAAAGCTATCATGTCCAATATTAGCCATATCTGTTACTATTATACAAAATGTTACAAATTAATTAAAACTTTGGAGATATAATATTTTGTGTAGGTGGATTACTTAGTATATCAAGGAGATGATTTATCAAGCATTCTTTTTAGAATTGATGAATCGGATTTTACGTTTTCAAGTTTGAGAATGGACGGACACGATCAGCTCGGAGAGATATCGACGATGGAGGATGATGCCGAGGATATAATGGTAATTTCAGATCAGTCGGAGCATGGTACCAATAGTAATAATTTAAAAGAGAAGAAGAAGAAGAAAGAGAGCAATTACTTGCGTGGGATGGTTCTTTCACTTGGTAGCAGAAGAAAAGGTGCTCCTCATAGGGCTCCTTTATCATAATTAAATACAATAAATCATAGGCAAAAAATATATATCATATATATATATATATAAATAAGCATTCTATATATATGTGTGTATCGTATTTCTTTTATTAGGTATATCTTGTAACAGGTACGATAAAATAATTAGTACTCTTTTTATCACCAAAATGTGTTTGCTTTTATCATGGGTTATTTATTTATTTTTTAAGTTTTTTTCTTTTGTGGTAATGTGAAAACGATTTTTACTTTTATTTGATGATAAATTATTGGTCCCTTCATGAATAAAAACTGTGTATATAATCATCATGTGGTACTTTATAATAGTATATTAAGTAATTAAAATATCGAGTATTAAAAAAGTGGACTCGTAGTTTGGGTAATTTTCATTGGGAGATGGAAGAGACGACGACAGGTTTTCACGGGGACAGCTGAAAAGTCTCGGCTGCGTCATGAATTACACCAACACCGTTTGTTTTAGGGACCCTTTGTTTTAATACTTTACCATTTATTCAAATTCTGGGTAATTCTAAACTATATGTTAATTTCCAACCGTTATTATTTTCTTTTATGCTAATTAGAAGATGAATAATGATTTTAAGTTTATTTCCGACGAGGCAAGAAGTATAATGTATTTTCAGTAATTTGTTTGAATTTGTATATCACTTATGTGTTTATATACTTAGAAATCTATTTTATTTTATTTAAAATAATTATTATCTAATTTTCTATGACATCACTTGCTGTATTCAAACCATTTTCAAAATTTTATTGAGTGTTGCATTATTGTTGGGATAAATACTTGTAGGTGAATTTTGAAGAGCTAAGTAAAATAGAGTAATAAATATAGTAATTGTCACATATCCCAAAATCATTACTCGATAGTATCTTTAGAGACTGAGTAGTTATGAACTATGACATCTTAGGGCATTTTAAGTTACATACTAACAATTTTAATACATAGATAATTGCATAAATTTATTATAATTTTTACTATATATATTGTTATAATATATATTTATTCACTAATTTTTGCATGAATTATTATCAATTTCAAATTCAATTTTAAAATTAAAATTAAAAATAGGATATTCAACCAAAAAGCCAAAATTTTAAAAATATCCAAACACTAAATATCTGATTAGTTTTAAAAGTAAATACAAAAATAATTGTTGACTCGGAGAAAATAGACGGATCACAATTACCTCAATATCTCTACTCTGCATCTACCTCTAGTCACCACTTACTTATCTCATGCAATTTTTGATCGTATTATCTTTTACGCTGCTATTGAAATGGCATGTTTGCTTTGTAAAGAAAACTTTAAATCTTCGGACACACGTCGAAATCACTAAGTAACAACTAACAAGTATGACTCTGCGTATGTGTTTGTTTTTTTTTAAGATCACATGTGTTTGTATTATACTCAAGAACTAAAAGCAATAACATGAGTAATACGAATAAAACAAAAAAAAGAAGCACCGATTATTACCGATTACGGCATTGGAGAATATATGTCTCGACGCTTACGTTAGTCTATGGCAGCTTCGTGGTTTTGCATTAAGTGTACGATATAGAATCTAGCAAACAAACGCTACCATGCGCTTTACCTTCCCATTAACTATAGCGTAACTACTAACTAAAAATGTTCTTGATAACTAGCTTGTTATAGTATTATTGTATTAAGGAAAACCAAATGTTATAGCAGTGGAGAAAAATACGATTCAATATTGATCTAATAGGATGAAACCAAGAAACTATAAGTCTATAAGTAGTATGGATATATATACAGTTTTTTTTTGGTTGGTTTTAGTAATCCTCTATTTCATAATAATAATATTTTGACCTAAAAATACAGTAATTAAAAGAGTATTTTTTAAAAAGAAATATCATTTAATATATGATTTTAAATGTCATTTAATCAAATTATAAAAAGACTACATAATATAATTGGTCACACATTAACTATTGAATTTAAAATTTAATGGAAATGTGAGAACTTTCTATATTTTAAAACAAAAAAAAACTAATATCTAAAATATCTTTTATTTTGAAATGAGTATTCCTTTTCTACATTTTTTTTTGTTTATATAAATTTTTTGTTTGTTATGCCTTAGACCTGACTGATTACTCTCTTTTTTCTCAAAAAAAGAAGGTATTGTGAAAATTATTTTTTTGTTTCAAACTAATAATATCTTCTCACATATTCATACAACTTTAAATTTATTGAGTAGTGTGTGACTAGTTATTTAATTCATTGTAAGTTTTTTTTTCATAATAAATTTTTTTTTAATCATACATTTAAAACTTTTTTTAAAAAATGGATTTCTTAATACTTGTGCTTTTAAAGAAATACATTAATTATAAAATAGAGGAAGTATTACCTATTACGTAGACAGAAATTTATTTATTGTTACATAGGAAAAAAAATTATACTTGGCAAGCACTAAATGTCCGTACAAACTCTAGCCTTAACTATTGTTGTTTGCTAGTATAAATGTATAATATAAGCATTGGTTTCCTAATCTAGTTGGTGGTAGTTTTCACAATAAATTTTATATTATAATTTATTTAATAAAATGTATGAGCTATGTGTTTGTTTTATTTGCAGTTTTATCTTAGGATCCGTTCATCGGGAGTTAAACCCACCTCATGGTCGGGGCATTTAATTAAACAGTGATTAATAAAAAACAAATTTGTGGGTTATAAAATATTTCAAAGTACAATTATCAAGCAAATATATTTTATAAAGACGATATCAGTACCTTTCTTACACACCATACAATTCCAAACCGGCGATAAAATGTTCCCGACAAAATAGAACTCATAAAATATAGGGTAAATCTATTCCTGCTGCAGGTCTCCTAAACTTCGTTTCATTTTGGTCATTTTACTATGACATTTTACTATGACATATATATATATATATATATATTGGTCATTTTATGATATATAGTATATATAATATATATACACTTCCACAACACAACTATTTAAAAACTTTTGTACAAGAAAGACATGATTTACTGAGAAATAATTATAAGAAAAAAACAATAAGCAAGTGATCGTTTGAGACGAAACGGTTAAAAGAAATTCGGAATCAAATAGTGAAATATGTTTCTTCTATCGTAGAGATGTTTTGAGAGAGATAAAAAGAGGTCCAGGCGCTTTAATGTGATTTGTTTGCCTCTAATCTACGACCAATTCTTTATGGTCTCATTGAATAGTGTTAATTGAGGTAGTGGTATATGAAATAACGAATTATCATCAGAGCCATGTTTAATTATTGGTTTCGAAAGCCTATATTTAGCTACAGCATGAAGAAGCTTATATTATGGGCGACAAAACTGAGAGACAGAGAAAATGAGGTAAAGGATCAGTTTTTCCAAAAGTTCCACGTGTGCGTATAAGATTTAGACAAAAAATTAAGAAAACAGTTTAACTATAGTGGCATACTGCTAATTAGGCAAATAAAAAACTTAGAGAATATATAATAATATGCGTAAGAAATAAAAAAGGTATTTTCAGAGATTGATGAGGATAAAATGCACATGGTCGGTCCACTTCTTCGTATTAGGTTTCCATATTTGTAACAATCTATGTAGCAGATTGTTGCATATGGCCGTTTGGCGTACATAGAGTAGATGGCAAAACGGGCTTTCGACACGTGTCTTTGTCTGTCAACAATGCCTTCATGTTCTTTTTCTCCACATGCAAACGCAATGGCTTTGTGCTGAACATATTTTTTTTTAAGATTAGTCTATTAATTAGCATAGAAGCTAAACTTCGACTAAAAAAAGATTTAATTGCTACATACATGTGTATTTATATCAGTAAGGTGCATGTAGACAGCAGTTGATCTTTTGTTTGTTGCAAACACAATTTTTTAGCATCTTAATTATACTCCATTTGTTTTAATAAGATTTATTTTGAATTTGTTGTTTTATGTATAAACGCCATTTAATAATTTATTACTCATTTTTATTATCAATTGGTTTTAATATTTATATGAATGATTACTTCTTTTTACAAAATAATAAAGAAATAGCGATCTTATTATTTGTTTAACGGAAGAGAGGGCAGAGAGATGGGTTCCCATTCAGACTATCTCAAGAGCCATGCCACCTGACTCCTGACGTTTTTTGTTTCATAAAATATGCAACATTTTCTAATATAATAATATGTTACCACATTACTAAAATATATATATATATATATATACACATCTATGTGTATATTTTGACTAAAAATTAACTGAGAAGATATATAGTCATCATATAAAGTAGGTGTTAACCAAGTTAAGGGATAGATACAATTCGAACAAAACAGTTATTCGGAAGCCTTTGTTTCGCTAGACAATGTACATTAGCTGATAAAGATCTCGGATATTGATAACATATGTACATGAACAAGTTTGATGACCAAAAAATTAACCATTTTCACTCTAAACATCCAAAATTAAATGAAAAATCGTTCAGTAACTGAGATTTTGTTTTCATGTGTAGCAAAAAGATAATGTAAATGATATGAAACACAAAGTGTCTTTTTAGTAACCGGAGAATCCTACTTTGAAGTCCGAATTGACTAATCTCCAGGTAAACAAAAAAGATATAATTGTCATATAACGCATTTGTAAATTTTCTGTATATATATATATCAATACAATTTGATTCCATTCGCTAATACATTTCTATATATTAATATGATATTGGATAAATATCACCTGGACAGCCTGCGCATCAAGGCACAAGAGGTTCGAGGTAGTACGACAGATATATAAAGGGAACAATAAGGGTGTGTGTGTGTGTGTCATAATAGCCTTTAGCTGCAGTCCACTAAGATCTCTTTCTTTATCCCCGAAAAAATATCTACATCAATATTATTTATTTAACCTAATATTCATATATGTATTAATGTATATATGTATATGTTCTACAATTATAACATAAAAATCGACGCCAATTTTTGTTTTTTTCGTCATTGATGCGGTAAGCGAAAATAATTAAAAAAACAATAACAGATAAAAGAAAGTATGCCGAAAGAGGAAAGAAATGTAAGAAATACAAGCCCTCTTAAGATTTAGCTGGGAGTAAGAATAGCTTTGTTAGATATCATATAAGTAAACACATGATCTAAGAAGCTTTGTAAACTTCCC